AATAGGTATTGATTTCATAATAATATCTGTCAGCATTCTTGATGTTGGGATTCTAGATCTTTTTGTTTTTCTTCCTTGATTTGTGGGTTTTGTCTTTAGTGCAGATCGATTCAATACTACTGGTCATGTTTGTTAATCGTTGATGCATCCATAAGTCACTAGACAGAGTAAAATTCTTCGCTAGCTTACAAGTAGACAACCACTTCAACAAATAGTTGTATCCGTCTCCAAGCGTTCCTCCAATCGGCCCATGGCCCAAACCATACAAGGTAGCGAGTGATATCCTATGATTTCTGCGTCAAACAGATATCTGGTTCAGACTCTACGCATATTTAATTATGATCGTCGGGCTTTTTATTATTTGCAGACATCATGTGAGATTTTTGCGCTTGACATAATTTGATCCCCAAAACTTATGTAGATATGGTATCAGATAAATTAACGCTAGGGCCACAGTCCCGAGTCGCCGTGGATCGGCCGAAGCCAGTCTGTGGTATTGTCCCATTACCGAGCGAACCAACCCATGGTATGAAAACCACCACCCTGCGTTCTGGACAAGGTATAATTTGGAGAACGGATGTAAAATGAACCTGTTTTTATTGATGCCGCTGCGGCCATCTGCTGCATCAATTGAGATTCAAATATTCCAAGATCCGCTAGGTCGTTAAAACTGCCTCTTTTGGTAAGTGTATGGAAAGTCATCAATTGCTTCCATCTGATTAAGGTATAACAACGATCTGGCCTAGACACTTTCCCATTTGCTAGGAGTTTAGTCCGCGTATATGTAGCATCTAAAATTCCAAATACCAAACTGTGGGATATAGGACCTCGCTTATCTTCAATTCCATGCCCGTGGTTTGTGAATGTTCAGAACCACCCATCCCCATCAACGCCAACGACATAAGGATTAGATGAATAGGTGGTATACCGGTAGTTAGAATGACGATGGGATTTTTATTCCACGAATGAAAAGGAAACATCGACAATATTGGTCGAAAAAACCTGAAGCATTCTATAGGTTAGATTTGAGTAAGCAAAAGATCATGACACACAGCAATGGATTGTTATGATCATGGAACAATGGCAAGATAGGTACAAGTTAAGTCACTTCTTTTTGGCTTGTTTAATAGCAAGTAACTTACATAATAATACGTATACTTGGTTGAATTAATCACATATTATAATTTGATATTGATTAAGACATTAAGACACATACATGCATGTAACATAGGTAAACCTCTGATATTCCAAACGATAAATGAACTAGCTATCAACCTCTAATACTCTCGACTCTCGCATTCGCCGGTTAATGTTACAGTTGATTTGTTACATTTTCTCTACTGTCAACTTGAGATGGTTGCGAGCAACCTGAAAATAATTTGCGCACCGCCACCAACGTCAATGATTACAAAAAGAGATTTACTCCTTTCTCTAGAATTTCTGATGGTTGTAGATCATGTCTTCAAAAAATAAAATAATTGCAATGAAGCTCAATCCCGGACTCGAACCGGGGTTGCCGGAAGTTTAGTTCAAAATCCGGAGTGATAACCTCTACACTAATCAAGCGGTGAATTACAGTCCAATCGGACATATAAGGCCTCTCCTTCAATCAAATCGTTGTATTGCGAAGTTCCGGCATTCATTTGCCGCTTGTTTGGCCATTCGTTCTCGTTGATCATATGATATCACTCGGTTATTAGTGGGTTTTCTTACCTGCATTTAATTTCGATACCAAGCTCCACACCAGAAAATAAACCAGATGCAAGGCTCGACCAGTAGAGCGCAGAGAACACACATCAAATCTAGGCTTGGATGACCATAGCCTATTATTTCTCCATCGGAATATCTACGTAGTGGGTCCAACAATGTATGGCGTCATATCATTGCTTTATGAACGACACCGTTGCGTAGAATCTTGAGTCTAGTTATCCTTGTTTTTAGATCTCTCGTCGAAGAATGTCTTGCTTATAGTTTCCATCATCGATAATACCAAGGTCGCTAGCGCGCGCCTGACGGATCATCAAGGCTGCCTCAAACTAGATCGCCCTGAAACGTATCCTCAAATCAAAACTCTTTACTAACAAAATAAATTTCTAAGCACTTTTACCTACCTTCTCGGGTATTAATGAATTAAACAAAAAAAAAAAAATACCTTCTCGGGTATAGTGGATTCTTCTGGATTATAACTACAGCTGCAGGTGAGTAAAAACTATGTTCTATAAGTCCGAGTGATGAATCATTGATTATCAATTGGACTCAAGGTCACCACCGTACCCATGATGTTTCAATGGTCCCCTAATATCCTTCATATCTCCTATTAGGTCAGGGCAAGAAAACTTTCACAAATAGCGAGATTTGACTGACCGAGCTCGCACATGTGGGATAAAGAATCCCATGGCCAACGATCCACTACTGAAACCTCTCTAAGATTCTAATGTACTATGATAGGCTGACAAAGCTTGCTAGATACGAACCCAGGATAAATTGTAAAGATATCTGCTGTGCCAGTACGTACAGTGTTAAGTATGATGTTCAAGATCTCTTAATTTCTAGTGTAGCCATACTACGGTATTTAACGGTTTCGGCGGGCATATATGTCATGCCTTCGAGTTGCCTTTAGCCAGGTGGCCGCCGGGTTGCCACTGCCACTTTACCCGCCTCACCGGCAGTCATACTCAGGGAATACTGCTATTTATCCTAAGAATATATGGGATACTTGCCTTGCTCCTTCTGCGGTGCAGCAATACCTCTAAACGAAGCGCCTGATAAATGGACTTCGAACATATATTCCCTGGGGAACATGCAGAACTTCCCCTGTTTGCTAGAGTAACAGCTAGCTGCAAAATCTTTTATTTGGCTCCCTGTCCGCCCAATTCTTTTATGAATTGGGAACGTGGCCTTAATACCGGTTTCCCCATTTAAATCTTTTTTTAAACGAGAACTGCGAAGCTACGTATACGGTCAGAGCATTCTTTGGTGGGTTAGGGATACTTTCAATGACGTATGGTTTTTTTCCTCCTTTTTTTTCCTTTTCTTTTCTCACTCCTTATAAATAGTTGATATATCAATACATGATTAGTTGAAAACTTTAGTAAGTGGTCTCGTTCAACGGCTTCCAAGTTGGTAATGATATGGTATAATCCTTGTAAAGATCGAAAATGATTAATCTTTGGTGCTTTTTATACTAATTAAGGTGGTTTGATTCCATGCGTTAATTAAACCTGTGCATGCACGCGGTACATATATATACTTCAGAGATTTTAGTAATTGGTATATTCTTGTCTCTGTGTGTATAAAGTAGGAGATTACATGTATTAATGATGTGTCTCAAATAGTGATGGAGGTGAGCCTGAGACTTCGAGACTTTTGGTCTTGAAAATATCTTGGAATTGAGAGAAAAGTCTGGAAATGGTGTGAACTAGCATAAACGAGGCTATAATAGTACATTTAAGGTGAAAGGTGGGACATTCGGATGAAAACACTCGAAAAAAATCGCCTGCTATAAAATATATGCCGCCAGAAAAGGAAGAGAACCCAGCGGAGTACTGACCTCAAGTGTCAAACCTTTTTTCTATCAATTTTTACAGTTTTTATAACTAGACTTGCCTGTTGTACCTCCTGCCATTCAAGTCTTTATGGTAGCTATATTCAAATATATCTGACTGGATTAATATGGTTGGAACGTTCTCATGAACTCATGAGAATAAACTCATCATTGCTGAGAATTTCTCTCAAATGGTGAGTATCCCTTAAGCCGTCAGGCCGAATTGAAATGGCAGCTGTTAACCACATTCAGTAAACATTGGAGATATATAATACGATCTGCCATGTATTTGATAAGCAGCTGGCGTGACGGTATGACTGAGACCAGCGCTCAATCCATCATCTTTACTGAATGTGGTTAACAGCTGCCTTTTCAATTCGGCCTGACGGCTTAAGGGATAGTTTCGAGCAGTCTCACTCCCGTTAGGGACTAGTCTGAAACAAACAAAGCGACTTTATGGTCTAAAATGCTTGGCTACAACCATCGAGTTGGGAATCATAGAAAATCACTCGGATGAGGATCCTCGGAGCGAAACCCCTAGCCACAAATTGATGATGTCATCATGACTGAGAACAGAGCGTTGATTAACTGGAGATTCTTCGTTTGTGCCAGATCAGACCCCTGCATGTTGTATAAGTTACAAGTTCCAGTGTTGGTAATGACCCACGACCCGTAGATAGTGTGGTCGACGAGTCGAGTTGGCTCGAGCTTTTTTCACTGCTCGACTTGAAGAGCTCGAGCTTTTTGGGTGTTATCTTTCTGCATATTCCCGCCTTGAAACCATACTTGGTATACCCATATTATCCTTCTGCCATTTGATTTATAAAATCTTGAAGTATTCAACCCTAACCCTAACAACATATGTTTGCACAAAGAGATCTAGAATGACTTCTGGAACTCCTATGGGGCCACTGAAAAGCCCGAGTTCAGCTCGAGCCACTCGAGCCTTTACAAGTCGAGACAAGTCGAGACAAGTCGAGACAAGTCGAGACAAGTCGAGACAAGTCGAGCAGCTGCTATCACGAGTCAAGTCAAGCTTTTCTTCCTGCTCGTCTCGAGCCGGCTCGTCGACCACACTACCCGTAGATAACGACCAGTCAGTGTTAGGACCGGGTCGAGGCCGGACCCATTGGTCGTAAAAGGTAATGACCTACTCGCGCTGCCGGATTGAAGCCGCTCATACAAAAAAGGTAATTGATCTAAAGACTGCAAAAACTCGAGCTCTTATTGGCTGCCAGATCACTCGCCACAGCTCTTTAGGCGGCTTCAAACCGGCCGCGCGAGTAGGTCTTATCCTCCCCGGGAAACTTGAGAAAATTCTGTATCTATTTCTGATAGAATCGCCTTTCTTGGCATTGATACGACCTACATTATGACCGGTCGAAAACCCGGTCCCATCAAAATCGTAATGACCCCCAGTCGTTACCAACACTGTCAGACAAGTTCTCCAAGCATCATGTCTTCATCCTCCATTCTTGACGAGTCTTCAGGGTCTCGTGACACACCACTTATCACCGTAGACGACAGTTACTCGGATTGGGAGATGATTACAAACGGATCCGAGCCAAAGTCACCAGAACCAAACGAACCTCCTCAAAGCCCTTTGCACTCAGTAACTCTCGCACTTGCCGAGATCAGAGGGCTTTTTGCAGACCCGGTAACAGACTCCCCGCTACCATGCGAATCTCCCGAAACATATGCCGAGCCAACGGTACCCCCCGAGGTAATCAAGAAGCCATACAAAGAATTCGAATCAACAATTAAAGGGTTTGACGAGCCTATCGAGCATTCTATAGCTCCTGATATGCGAAACCTGACAAGCTCCGTGGATTCCATCAGGAAAGACACGGAAGCCAACTTGGTGGAGTCGGAACTGTGCAAGATCCGGAGATCACACCTTCGTAAGGCCATAAAGGAATTGGAGATAGCAAATGCTTCTCTGCTAGCTTCCATCACACACGAAGACGACCCGAAAGCCGAAGATGAGCCTAAGCTGGCTAGGAAGAGGCAGCGTCCAGGTCCACCTCCGAAAAAGAAGCCGAATACTGCAGCATATTCAAAGTCTCGCAAATTAGAGGAGCTTTCTCCCGGCCTGAGTCAAGCTGATCAGCATGAGTCTTTCTCTGCTCTTACAACCGCCCAATCCCCACCGCCAATATTCGCACCGCCTAAGAACTCAATTGCCTGTAGATTTCGGGCAGTAGGTTTGTACTTTGACCCTGAACCTAAGCCAGAAGAAGTCTCTTGAGACATCGGTATTCCCCCCGGGCCTCCGTGTATTATCATGAAACTAACATCGTGTAGCCATTGTCTCATACATGTCCATTATTGCTGGAGATTCTGGCTATAGGATGTTAAATAAATTAAGCAAGGTTGTTTTCATCGAAGGCTTAGCATAGAGAATTGTGTGGTGATGTATATGGTGAAGTGCTGAGGGGGGACCGCGATTGTCTAGTGCACCTCCTGCGGTTGAGGCTTCAAAGTTGACAATTAATCTAAAATCCATACACAAGGACCTCGAAGTCTAGAAACATATTCAACAATTTTAGTCATTATAAACTTGAAACTGCAGCGCTTTTTACATAAGCAACGGTGTATTGTCTCCAATATTCTAGTGTGTCGAAGGAAGAACTTGATAATATTCCGTCTCCCAAGTGGTCTAAGACTACTTGGGAAATCAAAGTTACGGTAGCAGTGAGATACATAGTCTTCGGATACCCGCGGTCCATGCCGTTATGGTCATCTAATATTTTCCCATGGTAAGTTAACATCTCGCACGGAACTCAAATCTAAGAACATAATTTTCGGATCCACTACTTGTAGTCATAATGATCAACTTCTATCCTATCTAAGAAAATCGCCTTATAGCCTCTACGAGAAACAGTTTACTGCTCAACAAGAACAGGATTTCGGTGAGTGAAATACACAGAGGAACCGAAACAAGTAGAGTGTGGCTTTTAGTAGCCTATGAGGCCAAGAAAGGTTGCTTGGATTTTTGCGAAGTTTGTTCTGCCTACTTAATGAAAGTATCTCGATAAATTATATATATAATGTGTTATCGAGCAGGGTAGGGAGAGTACATGAATTTTCAAAAGTAGAAAGGTACTAGTACATGTATCAAATGCATGTCCTATAAAATGCCTGTCCTATCAAATGCATAACATCAAGGCACGGGGGCATACCAAAGAAAAGTCCAAATACAATAAAAGGAAAAAAAGAAGAAAAAAGAAGAAAATACACATACCAAGAGGGGCTTTGGGTCTGCGGGACCATACAAATCTCAACCCAAATCAATGTCTAAAACAGCACCTAATGTGCAAGAGATAAACCGGTCAAGATCCAAAGAAGTAACAACTTCATCCCCCCAAAATTATCAACGTCGCCTAAACATCATCGAAATAATTCCACCATGGAAGCTCCGGGCTCCAGTTCTTTGGTTTCCCAAAAGGTCTGGTTCCTAATCTGCGTGCCTCCTTCTCCCTATATTCCCTTCTCTGGACCAATCTCTCGCACAATTTGGTCAGCGACCACTTTGTCCTCCGCTCACCAGAGGCACCCGCATCTTCAAATAACACCGTCCTCAGATACTCCGCAGATATATTGGATCCCCTGAGTTTGAGGCTTGGATCTCCGACTGTCCAGATATTCCATCTATCATCCTCTTTAGGGGGGCGTACAGGGCGCCCGCCATTGCTCATTTTGGCACGCTTTGAGCTTGGCCCCTGTTCGCCTTCGCGAAGAGTGTACACAATGTTCGGATCGAGGTTCATGTACAAAACCTGGAATTCCTCGAAGGTGATATCATCTTCTTGTTGCTTTGGGTGTTCCTGTTTCTCCCCTACTTTGCGCGACTGCCGTGGTTGTTGTTGGCCTGGCTCTTCATCATCATCAGAGATCTCATAATAAAAACGCTTTTTCATATTAGAGGGGCCTGCATATATGGTTGAGGGATCAAATTTATGGATTGCTGGGTCGTAAACGAGGTTGTTTTGGATCCTCTCTTTACCCTTGCCCTTATCTTTGCTTTTCATCCTAGCTTTTTCTTTTGACTTTTTCTCTGCGAGGCGCTGGTTATACCGATGCATCGACAAGACATCGTGCTGAAACTGCAGCTTTGCTTTAAGTTCCTCGGGAGTGAGATTCTCTTCGGGGCCCAGATACTGTTGGAAAAACTTATTTTAACAGCGGCTTCTTGGGATAGAGATGTGAGAAAAAACGTACTGGGAGGTATTTCTCGAGGTCAGTTGGCTTAGGAGAAGACTGGGAACCAGAAACTGTGGAAGCATAGTCATCAGACTCTGGAGCTGTGTGTCTCGGTGCTGGAGAGGATAGATCGCCGTTCCTAGATGAGGTTTCTTTTGTTAGTTACTCCATTTGCCAGGTGTTCTGTTGGACAAAACTACACACACATTTACCAGGAGGGGCGGGTGAAAGAAACGATCTTTGAAGGAAAAGAAGGAAGGCAAAGAACTAAGTACGTACCATGGTTCATTCAACTCTGACTGGTCAGTTGGTTCCTGCTGTTGACCTTCATCAAAGCTTTTCAGTCCTTCCAGTTGATTGTTCTGAAAAGTTTGCAACCCTTGCCGTGAACTTTCACCAAAATTCTGTGGTTTTTGTTGGCTTTCTCCAGTATCGTTGGGTAATTCAGGGTGTTGATTCCCCAATTCCCCTTGTTGGCTTCCGGCTTCAGAGTTGAGGATTCCCTGGTATTGGCTTCCTCCAGTGTCGTTGGGTGGTAGCTTGGAATGTTGATCCCCTAATTCTTGTTGTTGGCAAGGAATTTCTTCAGATTTGATCATTTCTTGGTTTTCACTTTGCCAAAAATTGAAAAGCTCATGGTCGTCTAGGGTTCCTTCAGGATCGTTAGGTAACTCGGGATGTTGTTCTCCCGTCAGGTTATGCAAACCAGAGCTGCCGTGGCCGTCAAGAGCCCATTCCTTCAGAGTATTTGGCCCCCAATACTCCTGCTGTTCATCTTTGATTACTGGTGGGGGGCTTGATGGTCCAGCAACCTCCTCCTCTAGCTCTTCCAGACACTGATTGAAGGTTTTGGACCAAGCCTCCTGATATCGAGCCCATTCTTCTAGTTGGTCTTCATAATTCGTCTTGAACTCGTCTTTACTCATATAGTTGAACTTTGAGGAGTCTTTTTGCGAATACTTGAATTGTTATTGAGGGTTTGAATAATTGGGGCCAGAATCTATTGAGATGGTGACTGAGAATGGAAAAAAAAGGAATTTCAAGTGCCAGGACTACGGAGAAAGAGTCAATGACACTGGAAGTAGTGTTTTGAACGTGCAGGGCAAAAAATGACAAAAAAGGCTGTATGAATAAACCAGTTGATTAGGTTTCGAAACAGGCTCTAACCGGTTATATAGATACGATAAAATCCAAACTCTCAGATACTATGGTATACCTTGGAGGAGATTTTATGACGAAATCACCTAGTGATAAATTTATACTATGGGTGTTTTGGTGAGAAACCATGTTTCCTGTTTTTAGAACAGATTTATCGGACTAGTGTGAAGAAATTTCGACACTAGAATACAGTTCTAGACTGTATTTGTGACTAGGGTGGTTTGTATGGAAGAGTGTTGACTGTGGGACGTGGTGGATATATATATGTGTGAGGGCCGGTCCCAAGGAAATACTATGTGGAATGACTGCAAAGATTTCTGGCGGTCGATACTGAATGAGTATGAGTAGTTAAAGACTCCTGAATTTTAAGAACAAATGGTTTTTGTGGGGTAACTGGTGTGATTTCGGTCAATATACACGTATTTTCGTATCTCTATATCGATATACCGCCGATTTCGAAAGTAGAACGTCTTCAAAAAGAATCAATCTAAGGAAGACTCATCATCCCTTAATATATGACTCTTCTTCGCCTTATTCTGCCTAATTGGCGGTTATCTTTGACGAAAAAAGACCTGCAATTTCATCGAGTGATATATCATGATTCCTCTCGTCGTGAAAATATTTTCCCTCGAAAAAAAGCAGAAATGTGAGTTAAACTCGGTTAATCATAGAATTCCTATAACATAGGTAATTAACTCTAGGTATCTAGCGTCGTGCGTTTCTTTTTTCGTCTCGACCTTTCTATGTGTTCGTCCTGCTTTTTTTCTTCTTTTTTTTCCCGTCTTTACACGTGCTTTCTATGGTTTCGTCTGCTGAAAATCTCCTTTAAAATGTGGTCTGATGTGTACGTATATGTGTAGTATTCCTGTTTTTCTTTTTTTTATTATCCTGGCGTGGGCTGTATAAATGTAGATTGCAATTTTTCCCTTAGCCATGGCTCAATCTATGTATATTCTTCTCATAATTTGAATAATGGACGTCCATGAGCCGGAAGAACGCTCAGCTAGCTAGGCTCGAGCTTTGAAGTGGCCCATAATACAGCTCTCAGACATCGCTTATCTATTTGCACAAACTCGTAGGTTAATTAGTGTTAGAGTTAGAGTTGCGTGTCAGAGATTAATTGTGTATATATACGGTACCTATATGTACAAATAAAGATCGAGAATAGGCAGAGAAACCAACCCCCCAAAAGCTCAAACAGACTCAGCTCGTGGTGACTTCTCGTAGCTACATGTACTCAAAACGAGGACTTTGTATGTAGGACTCGACCACACTGGACGTGGACGCGGAAACCTACATATAGATCAGACCACCTCAACATGAGTCGAAACAGGACAAATAAGACCGAAGATCTTCCAAACACCAACATATATCCGCCGAAACCCCTTTCACTCGCCTAATCCTAGCTACTATAGAACTAGTAATGGACACGAAACAAAAGACCATGTAAACGAGAATTCTAGCTGATTTCGTGACGGGGCAGTGGGAGGAATAAGCGGTCTTCAGTAATAAGACCTTCTCAACCTATATCTAAGGCGAGACAAAATCAGGCCAAGTCTCGTCTTGTTTCGTCTTGTGCTCATCACTAACCTGGATGGATACCACAACCCCAACCTGCATGCCAAGAACAGAGCAATCCCCCGAGTGACATCTCATGATCCTACATCCACACAAATGACACCACGGCCGAATAGGTACATTTTTCCACCATGGAATAGGACAAAATGGATCATATAATATCTATCGATCAAAACCTACAGTACCAGAATTAGCGGCATATTTCATGTCGTAGTTCTACCGTAATGCTTCGGTATTTGTTTGAATAGAGCACTTTAAGTACGTACAATACGGAGATAATACGGAATTTCTGGAAATACGGTATTCATTGGGCTCTGTAATCTCAGTACACTGCGAACTTTCATCAATGCCCTATTCGAAAACGGTAGCGCTGCGGTTGGAATGCTATCTCTGCATGCGGTATTGTTATGGTATTGCTGGGGTATTACCCGCATTACCGAATGTGTGTAAAATGGCGTGTGACTACCACAGCAATACCACAACCCATATTCGATAAAGTGTGGCATTGCTGCGGTATTTCTACGGTAGTCTCTCAAGTACATTAGTGAGCAGAAATACCGAGCCACTACGGTATGTACAAGTATCACTGCCGCATCAGATTGGCGCATTCTCTTCGCACTCCATCAGCATCTAATATGTATTGAAACTCGACTGCGGTATGGGCCACTACTAAGTAGTGTAAAGCACAAGAAATAGAAATAAAAAACAATCAATTCCAAACCCCAAACTCCAGAGAGTACAAAAACAAAATACCCGGTGACCCAAGACAAGTTATAAGCCCTTAATCTTATAAACCCGCTTGCCCAGGAGTGAGCCGAACAGGGGGTCTCCCGGTTAAACCCCCTTGGGAACCGTACCCAATACCGCTAGGCAATTGGGAGGTTCACGGTTTTCAACTATAGCAATTTAATGAGCCAAACCTTTAGCTTTGGGAAGGCTTGGCACTCCCAGACACCCACACCTTGAGCAAGGGGCATGCACGGTACTACATGTACTTAGTAATACATGTATCATGGCTACTAGTAGATACGGTATTCCTGCTGTATCCGTACGGCATTTCTTGGCGTAGATTACTACGTGAATGTGGTGATATCCTCCCTTTCAATCGAGTGATACCTGGTGACTGCAATACAAATTCCCCCGGCCCGTGGGAAAGAGATTTCGTGTTGATTGATTGATTGATAATTCATTAAAATAGATTTGGTGTGAAACAGTGCTTTTTTTTCATTACTATTATTCTGATACCCAGCTGGCTGTGGATCTTGTTTTTTTGGTTTTTCTATGTGACGGAAGAATGTGCGTCTCATTCAAAAATCACTTTACACTTTAGCCAAACAAAGAAGCCCCTTTCTAAATCCATTATTGTCCCTTCCAATTCTCTGATCGACGAGTCGGTCAAGCATTCTGAAACCAGAATTTCTTTTGCGTGACAAAAACGTGACAGTAGAGAAAGAACCTTCATCGTCGTTGCCCCCCCCCCCCCCAACCCAGACTGCAAATCTGTATGCACGAAATGAGTCAATGAGCTTATGCACTGGTGAAATTGCGAGTGATAGTTCATGACTACTAACTACAATTTAAAACCCTTTTTTCACTCTCGCGGAGTCAAACCGTAAAACTGGTTTATGAATAAACAGTTCCCTATGTGTCTCATCAATAACAAGTTTCTGCTACAACATTTGTGTGTGTAACCGTGTTTTCTCTCAGAAACGTATTCTAAAAAAAAAAAAAAAAAGTTATTTTTTGTCAGAAAAATGGTGAATAATGAATAACGTATTTTATTTTCCGAGTCGCTCGTTTTATTTACCGTTAGAACACGGGTTATATCTCAAATACTGAGAGAAAAGTGGTGGTGGAAGTGGCCGTGTCAATTGAGCGTCCAGCACACCTAACCCTAACCGTCAGTTACTTACCTGAATCACTTCTTCACGCCTGGCGCCCCATGTTGTGGCGCAGACTAGTTGACAAGTGCACATACATGTACATGTAGTCGTGACTAACGGACACGGCTGGAGTTGTGACAGAGGACAGGTCACAGTGATTACGGTGTCATCATTTATGTAGATAGATTTGTCTGGTCCGCTTATATTTCCTTCTGTTTGGCTTTCTTTTCTCTTCCATCATCATCATTATATTCATCAATACACAGTCATCTCGAGCTCTGCTTTACTTTGTCGAACCTGAGCTTTCTTCTTTTGAGATTCACGGAGGAACAAAATCTATAGTGAAGTCTTGGTTCGCTCGCCACAACTAGCTACATCTCCGCACGCGGCACCGCACACCCAGCAGACGACACCGTGACTGGACACATAAACACCGTACTACCCGTGCTCCTTTCCATCCACTTTGTGAGTGTCTGTCTAACACCCGAGTCTGCCGGTCAGCCAACGTTCGTTCTTTTCAACCCCGCCGCAAAAGTATCTAACCGAGTGATAATCCATGATTCAATCACATACCCACACCGCCCCTGGCCACCACCACGCACCACGCACACACTTCTTCATCCTCCTATCATATCATCTCTCTTCTCATCTTCTCATCACCAACCACTACCACCACCGCCGCATCACATCACATCGCATCTTCTCACTCCGAGCGCCAAGCCACGCGCTAATCCCACACCGGTCCATATCCCCGATTCGCGAATCGGACGGCCCAAACAACGGCGGCAGCAGATCCCGGCCCGGGGTTGATCTACAGGGCTGCGTCTTACATCTGCGGGTATGAAGAGTTGGGTTGGGTAGTAAACCTGGTATGGGATGCGGGAGGGGGTGTGGTTGTTGTTTAGTATTTGGTAGGTTCTCTGCGTGGACGGGTAGGCGGATGGGCGGGTGGACGGGTGGGCTACATATGCGAGATCGATTCGATCAAAACAAAAACAAAAACAAAACAAATAACCTCAGGCGTGCAGAAAGGATTGGCCCGCTGTCATGAGCCGGGGGGGGATGGAGGGTAGATGGGCTTTTGGCTTACAGGCTGGCACGAGGTGGGGTTTTCTTTTTTTTACCACTGATTTTTATCTTTTTATGTGCCACTATAGCACGTGGAGGGCTTACCGTTTGAAAAAAGCTAATATTTACACATCTAGAGATGCTGTTCGGTCTCAGGTCCGTCGTGTGGTAACACCCTCCACATTCCAATCGGCACTGTACTGGAGCCAGAATTAAGATCTCCGATCATATCAGATACA